CTCCGAAATCATACTTGTATGTTTGTTTTTTGATTCACCAGAGTTACTTTAACAGCTGGTGTCGAGTATTTCGAATATTTTTTTTTTAAATTTAATCAATTTCAATCAATTTAAGATGGGAAAATTTCGAGCTTTTATTATTTAATATGAATTCGACGATTGATATGAAATTTGTTTATCATTTACCTAGAAGTCGCGCTATTACCATAAATGGATTATATTTACGATTGCGTGACAACTCAATTGAATGACTTCATAGCTTTTATAAGTTTAGAACTTAGCTGAGCAAACACCAAACATAATGTAACTAAGTGGGGTACTACTGCCATTCTACTCATCTACAATTTTATAGAAAACACTTTTTATAAGTGGCGCAAACCAAATGGTCGGTCATACAAAAATTGTTCTAACTCCCCTATTTTGAAAGCCAGCCAAGTTAACTTGGTTCGGTTCGGTTCGGAACTTAACATTTATTTTACATACTCATTTTACTTTTTACCTTGTCTGACATTTGTAAATTCTATTAAAAAATAATATTAAAACATATTTGTACCATCGGAAAAAAATAGAAGACATGTGCGCATTTTTTCTTGTTTTCATGTTAAAAGTTCGTTAAAGTGAGAACATAACCGACAAATAGAATTGACTTTTCGCAGGTTAAATAAAAATTTATATGAATTGTAGCCTCATACAGTAGTGGTAAGAAAAATTATTCCGTTACATTAGAGAAACCAAAATTATACGATGATTTTCATGTGCGAGTATGCTTGGGTTCTAGTGTTAAGTAAGAGATTGTTAGACATGTACACATTAAAGTATATTTAATATTGGAACAGCATTCGAAGCGTTAGATCCAAATGTTCTGATTAAAGAATTGAATATTTTTAAGGATCGAACACTTCAAACCACTGTTTATATTTAAAATATCAGCAGCTTTAGTGTCATCAACTTATAATTTTCGGGAATTAAAGTTTTTACTTTTTGTAGATTTTAAAAGTGGTTGACTTAAGCAATTATTTCTCGGTAGTCAAAATTGTATACTCAATATTTCTTATCAATTTTAAAAAGCTACACAATTCTTTTCAATAAGTTTGAAGAAGATTTTTATTAGAATAGGGCAAAAAATACCTTGCACAAAATGCATTGACATGCAGCAACATCGCATTGAATTACGACAATGTTGCTGATTTTCATTTGTTATGCACAACGGTGCAAAATGCCTGGCTGATGTATAATTGAAATAAAAGCATTGAAGTTTTTTTGTAGCATATCGAAATATTCGAATCGAAATATTGGTCTCTATTGTACTATAAGTGAACCCTATTGTGCAATAATTTCATGTCACAAGTCGATATTATAACTTTCTTTTAAAATCAATGTAAATCCACAGTCCGGTAACCTTGGGATGCAAGTTAAAATATATAATAGAATAAACTATATAGAATATATATTCAATTATTTCGATTGCATGAGGTTGGAAAATTAATTTATTGTGTGCCTTTTACATTTTTATATATTATGTTAAATTAAAACAAGATAATATTTACAATATCTTGTAATGCAAACTGAAAAAAAAGGTCATTAATTTATTATTGACAAAAAAAATTGACTTGAAATTTAATCTATTTTGCTATTTTTATTATTGAGCTTTGGGATGCTTTAAATAAATTTGTCGTCCTCTGTGCCTAAGACATCGTCCTTTTCTTTATCTCTTTCTTCACTTTAAAAACTGTATGTTTTAGTGAAAATAATTTTATACATATTGAAAATTTAATTTGAATTTATTAACTGATTTTAGTTTCACTTTTTTTATATACAGATATATCTTCAAATTTTATTTGTTCACAGTAGATCATTTTTCTTTGCCACCACTGTTACTCTACTTGAACAACAATTTTGCATATATCGATAATCGCTAAAACGATGACAAAGGTGGTGTTCCTCACTTGTTATCTATCTACAAGTTTTTAATTTTCTAAATGCATTCGATAGAAGTACGAAGCGATTACGGTGACTATACAGGTATTTTACATTGCCATATATATGTTACAGGTAAATTCCTATATATTTGCGATATTATATTCAACAATGTTAACAATTCTTGGTCCGAGAAAAATTGTATATATATTGATATATATATATATATCTAGATATTCATTTATTATTATTTTTTTTTTAATTTTTTTTTCTATTTTAGTACATTGATGGCAATGTTTGAAATGAATTTGAACCATTCGTGGTCAATTGTGTTGTTTCAGTAAAACTTCAATGGAAATTTTTCGTGTTTGTGGGCAAGAGAGTCAGCGTGCAATAAATCAACAAAATAATTGTTGGCAATTATGTTTGATGCCTGTTACCTTTACACGCTCCCCAATTGTTTGCATTCACATTTGAATGCATCTATCTATGCAATCATGCAACATTGCCACGCGGAAACACATTTAAACACATGTGCTTTTAAGCATATTTGCATATGGGAAGTATCCTTCATTACGGTTTGGTAGTGGAATATGTTATAGACAAATTTGTCTAATAAATTTATAGAAGCATTTGAGTAATGCAAATATGAATTCGTTACACTGTGAAATATTTTTAATATATTATATGTTCTGTTTTAACTAACACATTTAGGAATTTAATAACAATTAAATTCTGAATTATAATTTTAAAAATTTAAACTCTAAATTATATAGCATAAAAATGTTATTGAATAATATTGAAACATTTACCAGTGTTAGTGATTCTGCATATATATAATACAGTGGAATATTTATTAGATTATGAATAGTTCCTTAAGTATTTGGCTAGCAAATCGAATATAATGTCTTACGATGGGAGGTTTTGTATTATTATTCCTATAAAATCGATCACGTATACGTGATACAATATTGTATGCTCTTGCTTAAATTATATATGGTTCCTTAAGTATTTGACTAGAAAATCGAAAACAATATCTTGCAGTGGGATTTTTGTACTATCCGTTCCTATAAAATCGATCACACAATATGCTTGTTACAATACGATATTGTATTTTCTTGTATATGGTCCCTTAAGAACTTGAATAGCAAATCAAAAATAATGTTTTGCAGTTAGATTTGTATTATTAGTTTTCACAAAATCGGTCACACAATATGTTTGTTACAATACAATATTGTATTCTTTTGCTCTAAGATATTTAAAATCCATTGACATTAGATATTGAATATATTTTGAATAAGTTAACAAAAAAAAAAATGTAAAGCTTTTATGTGTTAAATATCCTCGAAGTCATTACAGAAATTATTATTATTTATTTAATTTAAATAATAAATAAATTTAAGTTATGTTAATTATGACTTTTTTAAGTAAGATTTATGGTCTTCTTTAAGTTGGTCACGACTACCGCATTCAAATGGACCTAAGCTTTACGAGCTTTATCATGCCATTCATAATAATTCAGCGAAGTAACATCTAGCTTCGCTAGCATAGTCATTTCGTGGAAATGGATGAAGATACTCTAGAGAAAAAGGTGTCTGGAGCGATAGTTGAAGAAAGAGTTGAGGTAGAGATGGGCCGTGTCTCTAGTGGAATGATTAATTTGAAAGAACATTACCGGCACTTAATGTATGAGTCACAGAAGATGCGCACGCAGCAGAAGCGTCTAGAGAGATATGCTGCATCAGGCCGAAAACCGGTAACGGGTTGTTATTGCCAGTTAAGTAAGTTTTTTAAATTTTAAAGTACTTAAAACTAGTAAGGTTTAAATAACTTACTTAAAACTAAGTTAGTAATTTAATTAACGAATTTGAAAGCATGTTATAACTTAATTTTCCTAACTTGATTTGGTCGCATGGATTAAATTTGTAAAAATAATGAAGCTATATCCCAATAATACAAATAATGCAAGTAAAACTTTATTTCTTGATCTTACATTATTTCTTAAAAATTGACACATTCTAAACACTCAATTTTGTATATTATTAATGCAATGGGTAACTCATTATTGGATTTAATTATACTAAACAAGTATAGAAAGTTAATTTAAGTATATGAAGAGGAAGCAATGTTAGATGGTGTGATCGGATTTATATTTTTTAAGCCCAATTATAATTTACTTCTAAACAAAAAAAAAATGAACAACAAATTTCGAATTAGACATATAAATTTAGCTGTATGTCTTATTTAGTTTTATAACTCTAGAATTTATGTAGCAATTTGAGCTGCAAGTACGCCACCCACAAAAATGAAATTATGTTATGTAGATTCGTACTTTCAAAAAGGGAAACAATAAAAAATTAGTCGTAAGCGCAAAGCAAGCAATTAACATAATTTCTTTGACACGTGACGTCCTCAGTTGAAGGATGCGTTACTGCGGTGCAACTACAACTTCAACTTGTAGAAAAAAGGATATTTTATGGAATGTATCAATTTACAAGGACACAACTGTTTGGTTGCGCTTTTGTCTGCTGTGCTCTGCTCTGCTCTGCCAGCAGAAGTTTTTGCCATATTTCGACGAGGCAGCAGACATTTTAAATCAACTCAAACTTTTTTTCATTGACGTTGCCATATTTTTGTAGAACATGAAATTTTTCAGTCGGGTTTTCATCCTCACTCGGATGCATTGTACGTACGTTAAATAAAATTCAGTTGTATATTGTCGTATCGAGTATTAAATTGCAGTTGATAATAATGCCAATAAATTAACTCTGTGTACTCGTATATCCGTAATATACTGGCAAAGGCGTGTATGGATACTTGCATATATACTAATATTTATATATTTACATACAAAAATTCGATAAAGTTTATAAGTAACTTGTGTGTTTATAAGTATGTTTGTTAGCTTGTTAAAACATACATTTGAGGTATTATAATGAAAAGCAGCTTAAAATGTCATCTTTTGTATTGCGTAGCTGTATTGTACGTAAACGAGAAAAAGTTTCTATAAAAACGTTTACGTTTAAGAAAATATTTAAAAATATCAACAATACTGAAGTAGAACCCAATGAATGACTACTTACCGATCAATAATAACAGGATCTGATGGTGTTTCATTGCGGTTGCCACAGCTTTTTTTATCACAGCATCGACTGCAAAATGTAACAAAGAAAGTAAATATTTATTTATTAATAGTTTTTTACGTAAATTTAAGAAATCACTAGAATAATTTAATAATCAATTTATATCTATTGTCGATTAATAAAATTATAAATAAATTTCTTACATATGTTTATGCAAAAATATTATTATTATATAAAAAAAAATTAAAAAATAAATTTTTAAAAATGTTTAAATAAAGATAACATTAACTTACAAATAAATAATATATTTTTTTTCTAAATACAGGACCTATAATTTCTACAGTGAAATTTTTCGCAGAATTCGAAACTTACAATGATTTTTGTTACGATTTCTCCATTATTTGTGGAAAACCGTAATTTTGGTTTCTTTAGCAATATCACACTGCATATGCCCCCAAAACTTTGTTGTAATTTTAAAGCATATGATATTATATATCAAATTAAAGCTGAAACTAGTACAAATATATTAAGTTACTTAACGTCAAGAGAATTTAATTACTTTAGTTGCTATAGTTACAAATGTGCAGATAAAAATCTTTTTTCTTTTTTTTTTGTCAACTTGTGATGGGACGTCTATACAAATATTAAAAAACAATTCTTTGTTAATTAATGTTGGAACTGATTTAAATATAAAGTGTTTAAATGACGACATAAAAACTGGATAAACATTACGAAAGTTATATTTAATTATCCACATTTGCCCAAAACATTGGTCTTTAAAAGTGAGTTAAACTAATATAAAAGAGTCCTCTTTGTTTGAATTTATTAAAAATTATTTTTAATAATAAAATTTTATGCTGACCGAGTACAACTGTTTCTAGTACGATCGTAGAGTAACATTAGCATAATTATTGGTACTGAGACCCCAAATAAAGACTCACACTCAAGAAACAGATATGTGTAAATACGCAACAAATAATGTCTTTACAAATAGAATAGTACTGAAATAAAAAAATTATAATAGTTTATTGCCACTTCTGGTAATTAAAAAGAACGACAATTGAATTGGTTATTATCTTCTGAGAAATCAGAAAAAAAACAAGAAAGTAGAAAATTGAAATTTCAACAACAAAAGTTTTGGACAAATTTGGCTCTTTATAATTATAAAATAATATATAATTTGTAAGAAAAATATTTGTTTAAACATTTTTAATGTTAAAAAGAAAATACACAGAAGCTTGTAGTTTCTATGATACTAAAAATGGGTAAAATAACTCCAAATAAAGTGCTAGCTTATATCATCGAAAGGATCCGATATAAGAACTCTGTTTAATGTTAAAAAGTAAATACACAGGACTAGGTAACAAATTTCTGAGAAAAATCAATGAATATTATTTTAATAGAAATAAAGTGCTAGCTTATAGCATTGAAATTCGGCGAGACAGACAAAGCATAAGGATCTGATTTAAGAACTCTGTTTTATGTTAAAAAGAAAATACCCAAGACTACATAACAAATTTTTGAGGAAAATTAATAAATTTTATTTTAATATTTATTAAAGAATTATAAGATGATATCTGTATCAATGAAGTTGTCGCAAAAATAATGATATATAGAATCGTAACCATATTACTTTAATTATTGTTATAAATATAATATTTTGGGTTAACATATATTCGATAAGGCAGCGTTAAAAAATAATAATAATTTGTTATCCATTAAAGCTGTTCATATGGATTAAATGCTTCATAGATTATTGCAGTATGTGAAACGCACTCTTTATTTTCGCTTTTCTTCTATTTTTACTTATTTATTTGCATTGCTTTATGTCCTGCAACTGTAACTGTAAAGCCTTTACGTAGCGCCATTTTATGTTTTGGTACTTTTGGTATTTTGCTAGCTTTGTGCTTTGGTGCTACCCCAATATGTGGCCGCATAAAACGTCGGAGCACTAAATTCAGCTACGCAGTTTTCCAAAAAATCACACTCAGTTCATGATGAGACGCAGTTAGAGTTTTTGGGGTGCTTATATTGGTAGAATGAAGGAAGGGTAAGCGCATAAAATAGGATAAAATGAGCCAAATGCCAAGCGATAAAGACGCCATTGTTGTTTACTTTGCATTATTGTAACTGATGATTTTTCTGTTTTCGCATCGTCAAAAGCGTCGCATTGTTGGTCCACTGATACTAACTGGGCAAACTCAAACATTTGCCGTGTTGAGTGCCAATTTCAAATAATAAAAATGGCCAGGCAAGTCCAAAACAAACCGAAATATTGCGTCAAATTTTTCTTTTTTCGTTTGGGGTTTATTTTATTTATTACATTTTTTTTTGTTTTGTTTTGTGCTTTTCCTTTCTTCTCCATTTTTAGTTGTTTCATTTATTTTTTATTTTCCAGTAAAAGGATAAAATTTTCGATTAGATTGCTTACAGAAGCTCAAAAGTCAACAAAATTAAAGTAAAGTAAAATGTGTATATAAAGAATAAAATCTAAAAACAGTATAAAAAGGATATTTCATATGTTATGCATTTAAATATTATAGTACGCTATATTTATAATAGACTTATTGTATTATAATGGAGTTCTTTGACCTAAAAGTCCTTGCAGGTAATGTTGAAATTTTATTAATTTATATGATTTTATATTTTGTGATTAAGAATAACAGATTAATATTTATTTATTTCAGTTACTGTTATCACCGAAGTCATGCATTCTCTAATATTTCACATAAGCTGTGGGGTCAAAATGAACGAGGAACCACTTATTGTGATGCGTGATAATTATGAGCTGATATTTAATCTTGGGATCGTCATATATGTAATCCTAATTCATATTGAATATAATAAATTCAAGTACCTAGATCAAAAACGGATCAATTTTTTTTCATAATTTATTCATATTATTTAGGATTTAATTTTTAAATATTTTTTAAAATTTCTTTTAATTTTACTCATTACATAAATATTGATTTTTTTTGATTAGGTTTACCATATTGGTGAATTAATAATAGTTACTCTTATTTTTCATTAATAACTCGTTTGCAGTCTGCTATAAGTTAGATATTTTCAATTTCCTTGTTAAGTACATACTATATATGAGTAGTGGTACACTACCAATAGTACAAACTCTAAATATGTGAAGAATTATTTTCTTTTTATATATAATAAAGGAAAGATATTTTAATTAAGTGTTGAGAACTACTGTTTATATTTTAAATAATCTTTATGTTAAAATTATTGTAGCTTCCTTTTAATTTTATATTTTTCGAGGAAGATTAACCAAATACTAATACTAATAAAATGAAAACAAAATCTCAATATTCGTTTATAAGCTTTAAAATTCTAAGAAATATATATTGAGCAGTACCCAAGTATCGAGTATGCCATTTTTAATCGTAGCGTCAAAATAAGACTAAAGTAATAGTTACTACTAAAATATGAACACAAAAGGAAAGTAGGCTAACTGATGCCTTAAACGTTGTATGAGTATTTTTGTTTATTTTATTTTTTGATATTTCCTTTTGTATTTGTTAGGCAAAGAGTATAGAAAACGCGGCATGCCAAATTCAAAAGCTCGAGGGATATTTGACTCTCTGGGGATTGAGTTTATTTGCGTTTGTAGTCTTAAGTGAAGGTGTAGATTTCAAAAGTGGAATAAAATAATTCAACATCAACACATACTCCTTTACCAAAATTTACATCCGCATTTGTGATTCTATTATCCTTCTTCGTTCGCGTTTAACCAGAAATTATTGTCTTTGTTCTTTTAAAACCAAAAGAATAAAGGATAATTAGATATACTTATTATTAAGCATTAGACATAATCCTTAACTCTTTAGTAGTGTATTAAAATTAGCATTTAAAAGCTAATGTTAAAATAAAATATTTAAAAGTTAGACCGATTCGAATAGCAAAGAAAGGCAAAGACAAAAATTTTTTATTTAATTTATTAAAATTTGGCAATACTCGAAACAGCGTTGTATGGTCAGCCAAATTTTAATAAATTAAATAAAAAATTTTTGTCTTTGCCTTTCTTTGCTATTCGAATCGGTCTAACTTTTAAATAGTTTCTTTCGTCATAAAAAGACACGCCATTATCGGCAAGAAAAAATTTACCTTAAAATATTTAAATTTCGTAATCAATGCAAAAGATAAATACAAGAATATATAGAAACAATAAAATATTTGTAATACATTATAATATTAAAGACTTACCTGCACATAACTTCATGCGTTAGCAATACTCGACACATTTCAGGATTCTTATCTTGTCCTTCGTATATTATAGCCTGTAAAGGAGAACAATAATTTAGTGCTTGCACTATATTTATGGTATTTGTACAAGAAAAATAAACAAGAAATGTAATACGACCCACATGCATATATTGTTTTATTAAAGATACTAAATACGATATGGATCATGTTTATTTAGCACAGTTTGTATTGTTGTAGACGACTTTAGGAGGAATAAGTTACTCAATTACATATTTGCACTTAAAAAATGGTAATATGTACTGGTAAGTTCTATATTAAAGGTTGATAGCGATTTTTGATTATAAATCATAAATTGTGGTCTAGAAACAATATAAATATAAATATTTACTAATTTTTCTGAATATAAATATCATAAGAAATAAGTGGTTAAGTGTAGTCAAGTCAGAAAAACAAATAAACATTTGTGAAAACAAAAACTCAGTTTTCCCTTTATTTGTTTTCCTTCATTGTAATTAGAACTTTGTTCAGAAAAGATAGAATCGCATGATATCAGTAAAATAGAAACGTATTATTAAAGGTTGCTGAAATTTTAGACGATGTAAACGAAGTTATTTAATAGATTTAGTATTTTTATTTGTAAGACTTTAAGTATTGCTCATAAGAATATTTTTGTTTTCCATTTTTTTACACATATCTAAGAACAAAATTAAGTAATAAAAATTATAGATTATTTATATATCATAGATTTATAAAATATTTTTAAAAATAAATTAATATTTTCGACCTATATTTCAATAAAATTTAATTTCCCGGGCTAAAGGTCGATTATTTAACAACTCAAATTTATAATTAGTAACTCTTAAATATTTCGGAAATCAACTTCAGCATATATATAGAAAAAAACAAAAACAATGTTTATATATAAAAACATATTAAACAATGTTTATATATATGTATATAATTCGAAAATATTTTTTTTTAACAACACAATCTGTTGACCAGGAAATAGCACGCTATTTTGGATTAAAACAATCCAAATCACTTATTGGTACCTATAACAATAAGAGATACCAGGATTGTATGAACCTATCAAAACAAAAACTTAGAATCATCATAGGAATCCTAACAGGGCACTGTAGACTAAAACACCACCTTACAAAACTGGGTATACTTACGGATGCAAACTGTAGATTCTGTGAAGAGAATGAGGAGTCGGCCACACATGTGCTGTTAGTATGCTCTGCGTTAATGCACATGCGAAATAGGCTCCTAGGAATGTATATTCTTACGGAAGAGGCAATAAAACTCTGTAAAGTAGGTTCTATACTACTATTTATTGACGCAACAGGGATAAAGTCCTACTCTAAACCCAGAAGGTGGCACAATAGAACCGACGGTCGCAGTGCCACATTCCCTAACAATAATAATAATAATAATAACACAATCTTTATGAACTCAAAATAAGCTTAAATCCGTCTTTTTATTATTATTGGCATGTTCCTAAGTGATTAACTAAGCAATGGACAATACAATGTCGGCCTGAGTGATAGTATAAAGGACATATAGTAAACAATATACAATTAGTTGACGAATATCAGTAGTCTCACTGATAACCCGATCTTTAGCAAATTAACGATTTTAATCAAATTAAAATAATCTAATCAAAATCGATGAATCAATATATGTATAAATATAATGTGACTAACTTATATCGTGTATAATTCGCAGATTATGAATTACTTTTGTAATTGAAAATGGGTAATTAAATGTTTTCATGTTTGTTAGAAATAATAAAAATAAACAATTAGTAAAAAATTGTGCCACATGGGCGAAACATTTATTTTTGTTTTTTATATTCCTTCTTAACTATAAGGCGCAAACTTTTTATAACAATACTTCATATCATTGTCATACAAAGTGCTATATATCTGACTAGTAAAACATTTGTGCTCATCTGTACCACCCTTACCCTTACGAAAATGTTTAACTAAACTGAAGTACTTTTACTACCTTATGCAAACAAACAAACGAAATAAATTAACTATCTATCAGCCCAGCATGTAAAACCAAGCAAAGCCAAAGGGAAAAAATTGCTAAGGCAAGGCCTCTAATTTAAAAATAATTAAATTCAAATACAAAATATACAAAGGTACAACTTATTCCTGTGTAATCTTATACTCATCCCAAATTAGTGTTATCCTTACAGGAAAAAAAACATGGCATATGCGTCTGAGGGGTGCATCGCCGATGAGGTACAAGTGTGTGCAGTAGTGCACAAGCTATGATTTTTATGAAAAGCCAAATTTATAACAATATTGCGACTTTGACCACAGAATTATAACTGCTAACCTGCACCACAACCACCAACTTAGAAACACCAGCAGCAGTATCAGCAGTGGCAACAGCACCAGCAACAGCAGAAGTAGTAGCGGCAATTGCAGTAGTAGTGGCAGTAGAAAGTTTACTATTTATTTAGCACCCTTCCTATATAGTAGACTGTTAGACACAGTAAGTACAACATATGTGCATTGTTTTCTAGCATCCTTTAACTCATCATTCACCAACATCCTTTTTTCGTAACAAGCCAAATAGATAATCAGAAATTAATTCTTAAAAACGGGCACTATTTCCTCTACAACCCTCATCATATTCTCCTCTGACGGAAAATCATATCTCTTACAAACATAAACCTTTAATATTCAAGTATTGGCAAAAAAGCACAGTTATATATTTTGTCTTTGCCATTGTCATCCCTTATTATCCTCTTTGTCAGGTTAATATTTTCCAATTGAAATTTAATGTATTGGTTTAATGCAACATAAAATACTAGCTCAAAAGAAACAATGCACATATTGCAAATTCAAAATGTGTAAAATATTTCGGGGATTTTATAAAAAAATCATAAAGCAAGAATTAGGTTTACTTATTGTACTTAAAAACGGATAACAAATATACATATGGGTTCACTATCGAATATGTAGTTTTTGTCCAACAGAAACGACAGTACGTAGTTTTCGTTTTGACAGTTCCTTTGACCTTACTCAGCCGCTCTCAATATTTTGACCTTGTTTGACTAATAGCTTTCTCATGTTTTCACTATAAAGTTGCGTTTTGTTTAAATAGTGATTAATACTATATTTAAAAATATCCCTTATCCAATATTAACATTTTGAAATTTTTAACTAAATCTCATTTTGAGTTTGTGCTTAATTCTATCTAATATTCATTTCGATTACTCTGTTTGTTTGACATTTTTGAGACAGTTCTAATTGTGATTGACTAGTTCCCTGAATGGTGCGAGTTGCTTAGAGGCAAACTGAGTGAGCTTATCTAAGATATTGAATATTAGAATTTAACAAAATACTTTGAAACACAAAATGGCTATAAAGCTTTTAAGACATTTGTATGTAACAAGAAACTCTGTATAAACAATATTTTTGATCAAATATACGTTCGTAGGATAACGTTACGTTTCTGTGAGTATAAATGTTACAGAAAAAATTTAGTTTAGATTTTTCACAGATAAAAGCTGTGACAAACTTAGCAATAGCTTTGTATATTAAAACTTACGTATAATCAAACTATTAAACATACAATCAGTTTAAATCGGATCGATACTATTTAATTTTAATGCTATTTAACTGCAGTAATATAAATGATTTATATAGTAAAGAAGCAATATGCAAAACTGAACGACAAAGTTCTATTTTTATGAGCTAACTATAAAGCGTGTCCATATGGCCATGTATGTATATTATTATACTTTAAAAAGAATTTTAACACCGTATTATTCATATGCCTCTTCTTAATACATTATTAGTTCACATATATATGCGACCCTATATACAAAAGCAACATAGTCTATTATAACTATATAGTCTATTATATAACATCTTCTTCGCGGTTTTACAAATGTCATCAGACAACGTCATCAATTTATATATTTTAAATTCACGATCTATTCATTTATATATTATTTGATGAAAAACTTTTACTATAAATAAACATATACCAACATTTATTTCAGCCAACATTTATTACTTAAGCCATTAAGTACGAATCTTACTTAAAGCTCAAGTAAAATTCGCAGGATTGGAAACTTTTTGCTTCAGGTGTAGATCTGGTGATTAATTAGTAATATTCATTGCAATTTTCAGTCACAATAACATATCTTTATTATATTCGTGCATTATCTATTTTTCAGTAAATTTTTTTTATAATAAAACCAAAGAAAGTCATTTTAGAACACCAATTTCGCAAATTATTTAATTAAATTAATTAATTAAAATAAATTTCAGAAAGATTGGAATGCAAATAATACTAGTATTTAGATATATAGTAGGTATTTTACAAAGCTTACCATCAAGAACTACTGTATATCTAAATTAAAACAAACTTTTATCATTGGTTATGTTTAAGCAGGTGTAACTCAAGACGTAAACTATATACATGAAATCGATTTTGTTATAATTGTCATCGATGTAGATATAATCGTATAGCTTCACACAAAACCACATAAAGAAAAAATATCAATATTTAAAGATAAAATTGAAGGAAATATAATGGTTTCGAAGAGCTAAATCAGTCTTCAGCTTAGAATTTTGAAAACTAAAAGAGCATAATCCATATTTATCTGTTATTATGGCTGATGTCCATACAATATCTAGAATTGGTTAAGATATAAAGCTATTTTAAATGTAAGTACACTGCTTAAAATAACCATATACTACCGATATACCATATTTACACATTGCATCACTTCCATGGAAGCAAAATGGTGCTTCTGCCATCCCACTAGGCATTCAGCTACATATATTGATTTGGCTTTCAAAAAGCAATTAAATGTTTTCAAAAGTGAAAACAAACGCGCATAATTATGCTGTTTAAAAGGTTTTTCGTGGTTTCTGTATAATTTTATTTTCAGTAAATAAAACGATTTCGAGTGCACATGGAGCCAGTTTATGAAACGAATTAACATTTGCAATCTGTGTAATTTATTGACAGCGGATATGATAATATCCGGATACATATGCCAGTCCATACATAATGAATTGCATACATAACTTTATGCATA